TAAGAGTCAGTCAGTCCGTGAGCAGCCAGTGACCGAGGCAGCGCGGCCATCAGCCAATCGCGAGACTCCACCACATCTGCCGGAAGGACCAATCCATCCATTCGCTGGTGCAAGAGACGTCAACCGGCCTAGGCAGGCATCCAGCGGAACGCAGAACAGGATCCAGCACAGGCGGCCGAAGCGTCCAAAGCCAAAGGAGCCAGCGTACCGTACTCAGGCCCCCGTCTACAATCCCCGTATCTCTGACCTGGTTTTCGAACGCGCTCTGAAGACTCCAAACATCTCGTTGACGTCGGAAGAATTGTTATCCATAGCTCCGGAGGTCCGGGCCAAATATAGGGACATTGTAACGCCCAAGAAGGTACCGGCCCCACCAGCGGTACGCCTGCAAGCCACGATTCAGGAGGTGGAAGACGAGCAAGATGGCCCTGAACTACCAAACGTGGAGCAGTTGATTCATAATGGACGCTCGATCCGTCCGGGAGTGCTTGTGCTACCCGATCCATACGAGGTTTATCTCCGGAGTTTAGGTCCGGGGGAGACACCGAAGCAATTAATCGTGGCCAAGGAGTCGCATGCGCTTCGGTCCATTATGGGACTTATTGACAACCAGGAGAAGGTCGAAGCGATTTTAGATCCAGGTTCTCAGATCGTGGCAATGTCGGAAGCGGTTTGCCACACTTTAGGCCTCCAGTACGACCCCACCATACAACTCCAGATGCAATCGGCAAACAAAACAATCGACATGTCTCTGGGACTGGCACACAACATACCTTTCCAAGTCGGAGATATTACCGTTTACCTCCAGATTCATGTCATCAGGGATCCGGCCTACGATATCCTACTCGGACGACCCTTTGATGTTTTGACGGAGAGTTGCATCAAGAATTTCAAAAATGAGGACCAAACGATCACGATCAACGACCCCAACTCCGGGATTGTTTCCACCATTCCGACATTTCCAAGAGGTCGTCCTCGATTTCGAGGCCCCGCCTCTCGAGCGGGATGAATTATTTTTAGGTGTATCGGACAGGGAACAGTGGGCGGCCCTTGTCATCGAAGAGACGGATACCCCCGCCCAGTTTCATATTTCTGCGTACAATATTCTAGGTGATCAAGAAAATAGCAAAACCTCAAAACAAGATTTTATTCCCTTCCTTTATCTCTCCGCTTGCGAGTCTCCCGAAGTCCGGTCTTATTTTTCATCAGTTAATTTATTCGGCGATGTGTCACGTCCGCTAGCCGGTGACCCCCATGTCAGCGATTCTCAAACACGGGATCCAGTGGCCTCTACGTTTGCGGCCACTAAGAAAAAGTACAAGCCCGTCGCCAAGAAGGTCCGCGCAGTCCCGGCCACATTACCAAAAGAATTCCGGATTCAGCGTAATATCAAAGGGGACCCGTTGGCCGATATGCCAACTTTATCTCCGAATCCCCCTCCATTCCAGCCAAGCGGACGATATTCACTAGAGCGTAGAAATGCGTTACACAAGGCCCATCCTAGTGGATTCCTGACAGACTCGGAGCTAAATCTGATGGACGAATTCATGAGCAAGCACGACCAGGCATTTGCTTGGAATGATTCGGAACGCGGTCGTTTCCGGAAGGATTTCTTCCCCCCCATTGAATTTCCGGTACTACCTCATACGCCGTGGATACAGAAGAATATTCCCATTCCGCCAGGAATCTACAACGAAGTCTGTGCGGTAATTAAGAAGAAGATCGCTGCAGGGGTATATGAGCCGTCCAATGCTTCGTACCGCTCCAGGTGGTTTTGCGTACTCAAGAAGGATGGGAAGTCACTCCGATTAGTCCACAGTTTGGAACCCCTCAATGCCGTCACGATTCAGCACTCCGGAGTCCCTCCGATCCCCGAGCACATGGCGGAGCAATTTGCTGGACGCGCCTGCGGAGCCATGCTGGACTTATACGTAGGGTATGACGAACGGGAGATTGCGGAGTCCTCAAGAGATCTCACAACATTCCAGACGCCATTCGGAGCAATGCGACTTGTTACCCTACCTATGGGATGGAGTAATTCAGTACCTATCTTTCACGACGACGTAACCGCTATTCTCCAGCCTGAAATCCCCGATGTCACCATCCCTTACATTGACGACGTCCCGGTAAAGGGGCCCCCTAGCCGCTACATACTTACGGACGGGACCTACGAGACAATTCCAGAAAATCCGGGGATTCGTCGTTTTGTATGGGAGCACTTCCAGAATCTCAACCGAGTCGTCCAGCGAATGAAATACTGTGGAGGGACGTTTTCGGATTAAAGCTCACCCTCTGCGTCCGGAGATTGTGGTTATCGGACACCGCTGTACCTATG